ACACTCCTATAAGTCTTAATTTTTCCATTTACTTTCATACAGTGCTATTCTCACAAGAGAAACGCATACTCTTTTTCAAGTAAAGATAGTTACCAATATGGAAAAACATACATTTATACTATTTCAAGTACAAACATACATTCCCACCACTAACCACCATAGTGGTGGGAGTCACATTATCACCACACTCTCTATCACTAATTATGGGATACCAACCACTAAACACACAATTCCACTTCATTTTTTTTTTATTTTTTTTTAATTTAAAAATATATCAAAACACAATAAAACATTTTTTATTTAAATTTAATTCACAAACAGAATAAAACATATATTTTTTTAAATTAGTTTTTTATTCAATGAAACTAAGATTACATTAATTTAAAACACACAACATAAAATGAAAAAAGATAACAATAAAAAAAACGTAAAAATGGAACCATAAACAACTTAAACTTGTTTTTAACCCTTACTTTTAATAATTAAATTTTGGGGAATTTCTCAATTTTCACCAATATTTTACGTGTTTAAACGATGTGTGTTTCGTGTCTTCATATTGTCAGACCCCCAAACCGAGATGGCGGAAACATTCAGGAACGGATGATGTCATGTTCCTTTCAATCAAGGGTTTTTCCCTCTCAAATATCATCCTCTTCCTCTTCTTCTTCAAGGGAACTTTCTTAGGACCTTCACTTATTCATCAAATCTCCAATATCTTTGGGCCGTGAACTCAAGAACATCGAGTGTTCTTGGGCTGTGAACCATTCATTGGGCTGTGAACTCCTTGCAGCCTCCCATCTTTGCTTATAACACTTCTTTTGTAAGTGTTTCTTGCATCCTAGGTTGTTTTCCTAATACCTTAGAGGTTATATTCACTAATTCTATACATATATGCTATGTAAATTGCTATTTAGGACTTGTTTTGACCCGGGAACTAGCTTGTGAAATCAAACATCCTATATAGAACTTTCATTCAAACCACTCACACAAGGTGAGTTCATACCCCTACAACTTTTAGTTTTATGCTTTTTAAATGCTTTTAAGGGGGAAAATACAAGTAGAATAAGATATAATTGTGTTAAAACACTTACGTGTGAAAACATCAAACGAAAGGATTTCTTATACTCAAATACTTGTTAAAACCATTTTAAAACTATTCTTAGATTTCTGTTTTTTTATCAAAATCATATTTGCATATCTATTTACGTATAAGTATACTTTAATGGGCTTAGGAGTATTCCTAAATACCTTGCCTCCTGTTCCTTTTTTGGTTGTGGGCTTAGGGTAGGATCACTAGTCCGACTGTCAGCTAAATCATAGTTATACTCTTTGAATACATACATGAATATAAAACCCATTTTAAGGAACATACTAACTCGGTTGCTTATGTTGAACAATTGAGTCTCTTCTACAAATCAGTAACAGTTTAAACAAACATACTAGTAAACTATAATAGGTATAGTTTAGAGGATTTCTACATACTATTTCTAGATCAGAGAAAACATACATGAGTCAGTACATACATACTATCAGTATACATTTACAAAAACAAGAAGGAACATACATACTATAACTAGAACAGGAAGGAACATACATACTATAACATGAACAGGAAGGAACATACATACTATAACAAGAACAAGATAACTAAAACGTGATGAAACTATTTGAGGACATAGCAATAAACTTGCTATGTCACACTCTTATAACCAGAGTCTCCTGTAAGGAGAGTGTGATTTTGTGTATATATCTATACTGGATTCACAATCCTACACCTTGCTGCTAGCTACAGTAGGACATGAAAGTCTACGGGTGACAATTGTCATAACTTTTCGACTCCTGAAGAATGTCGTGTTTCACATTAGTCAACCAAGCATGGTTATAAATTTATCACATTTTAACCTTAAGATTAACCAAATTGGTTACAAGCTAGTTAATGCTTCAGTAGTGTAATTTATACAACACTCCTATAAGTCTTCATTTTTCCATTTACTTTCATACAATGATATTCTCACAAGAGAAACGCATACTATTTTTCAAGTAAAGATAGTTACCAATATGGAAAAACATACATTTATACCATTTCAAGTACAAACGTACATTCCCACCACTAACCACTATAGTGGTGGGTGTCACATTATCACCACACTCTCTATCACTAATTATGAGATACCAACCACTAAACACACCATCCCACCTCATTCTTTTTTTATTTTCTTTTAATTTAAAAATATATCAAAACACAATAAAACATTTCTTTTATTTAAATTTAATTCACAAACACAATAAAACATATATATTTTTTTTTAAATTAGTTTTTTATTCAATGAAACTAAGATTACATTAATTTAAAATACACAACATAAAATGAAAAAAGATAACAATAAAAAAAACGTAAAAATGGAACCACAAACAACTTAAACTAGTTTTTAACCCTTAGTTTTAATAACTAAATTTTGGGGACTTTCTCAATTTTCACCAATATTTTACGTGTTTAAACGATGTGTGTTTCATGTCTTCATATTGTCAGACCCCAAACCGAGATGGCGGAAACATTCAGGAACGGATGACGTCATGTACATTATCATAACAATGCATAATAGTAAAACAAACAACAACATCCATTGCATTAATAATATAGTTAATACAAGTGTGTTCTGTGTAAAGTTGTAAGACACCAAAAATTATATCAAAATAAAGAGACGAGTCTTGAACATGCTGCGTCTTCTCAAAACCTAGTCTAGTGTACCTGACTACTGGTGACTTGAGAATACACGTTATTTTAAAAAAGAGTGTCAACATAAAAGTAGAGTGAGTGCATAAGTATTTTTGTGTCAAATATTTGCATTTGTTTAATGAAAATGTTTGTATATGTAAAGTAAAAATGTTTGTATCTTTCCAGAAAATCCTATATTTTCTACTTAAATGAAAAGTAGTGTTCTATCAAGACTCAATTGTTTGTATGTTTTGTTCTTTTAAATAAAGTGTAGAATGTATGTTTGTACTTGAAATATTATAAATATATGTTTTTCCATATTGGTAACTATCTTTACTTGAAAAAATACTATGCTTTTCTCTTGTGAGAATATCACTGTATGAAAGTAAATGGAAAAATTAAGACTTATAGTAGTGTTATATAAATTACACTACTAAAGCATTAACTACCTTGTAACCACCACTATCGATGGTCTTATGCCCTCTAGTGTTTGTGACTTATTAAACTTGTTTTATGTTGTTTTTTTATTTAGAGTAAATTGTTGAAATCGTCTCTATGGTTTGGTTAAAATTGGACGTTTGGTCCCTAACTTTTCTTTTACACTGGGATCATCCCTGTGGTTTGATTTTGTTACGTTTTTCGTCCCTATGGTTTGGTCAAAATTGCACGTTTGCTCCCTAACTTTATGTATATAAGGAACGAAAAACGTAACAAAACCAAACCATATGGAAAATCTGAGTGCAAAAGAAAAGTTAGGGACCAAACATGCAATTTTGACCAAACCATAAGAACAATTTCAATAATTTATTTATTTATTTATTTTGTTAGAGTTGGCTTTCATAGTTTGTATATTTGGAATTCAGATATCCCTTCCACTAAAAAAGCAAGTTGCATTACACTCATTTTCTCTTTTTCATTAGTTTTCCATTATTGTTTGGGATAATGATTTGAAAGGGTAATATATTTTTTGATTTGTACACATTTAGTAATTAAGTTTTTTATTTTTTTATTTATTTATTTATTTATTTTTTTCCGTTCACATTTACCTTTTCAACTTGTTAAACTATACATATTTAGTCCTTATGACCGGCTACTCCAGGTTATCCGATAAAAATGACTTAATAGGGCAATATATTTCCCACTTTGTACACATTTAGTCCTTAATATTTTTGTACACATTTAGTTCTTAATATTTTTTTGTTGCAAAATAAGTCATTTTTGTTTTTGTATTAATTCAGTACTTATGAATAATTTCTTTAGGTTTTCTCATGACATCTTATGTGGGATATGTTAAGATGGTCCTGCTATATGTTGTAGGCCAAGATTAATGGTGCGGATTGGCTATAAACTATAGGCATGGAGACTCGAGAAGAGCGATTGGGTTAAAACGGGATGCTAACAAACCCTGGGTATTCCAGTCTGATTACCGACTAGACCTGTTGCATGTTGGCGTTCCAGTCCGATGACTGATTGGGCAAATGTATTCCAATCTAATGAGTGTGGGTCCGTTATGCATGATAATACGTTTGTTGTATCGGGTATTTTGGGGAATCTTACTAAACTTTGTGGTTACCCAGTTGTTTATGTTTTCAGGTTCAATTGTTGGTCGTGGGAAGGAGAATGCATGACTGTACACACTCATCAACAATTTTGAGGATTCCACAATTCTTATATCACTCTGATTTTCGATAAATGTATTTTAGAATAAACGTTTTTTCTTAATAATGGATTTATAATTATGGAGTTTTGCCTTATATAAAAATGAAAATGTTTTGTAGTGAAAACGAGATATTACACATAAACATCCACAGCCCCACACACTTCATCAATGATTGTCTCACGTAAGATGTCGTAAGAAAAACCTAATAAAAAAACATTTATAAGTACTGAATGTGTACAAAAACAAAAATAATTTATTTTGAAACTAAAAAATATTAAGAACTAAATGTGTATAAAAATATTAAGGACTAAATGTGTACAGAATGATAAATATATCACCCTTTTAAGTTATTTTTTCCGCTTAACCTGGAATAACTGGTCATAAAGACTGAATGTATACGATTTAACAAGTCGAAAGGATAAATACAAATAAAAAAAATTCAGTTACCAAATATATACAAATCAAAAAATATATTACTTTTTATGCGATTATCCCTTATCCCTTATTCTTTCCGTAATGGCCGCTGGGCGAATGCACCCCACCTTCAATTAATAGCGTCGGTTTCAACATATAATCTGGTCTATATAGACTGGTTCTTTCATCCACTAAAAAAAACCACCAAAAATGGCCTCTCCCCATTGCATCTATACAACTTCCCTTCTACTTTTGCTCAGCTTTCAACTATTTTCCACCATTTCCGAAGCTGTTGTGCCAGCTTCAGACACCTTCAGTTACGTAAACGAAGGTGTTTTCGGAGATTATATCGTAGAGTACGATGCAAATTATCGTTTTCTTCCTCCCTTTTCTAACCCATTCCAGCTTTGTTTCTACAACACCACCCCTAACGCATACACTCTAGCTCTACGTATGGGTACAGTCCGATCGGAGGCGCTTATGCGTTGGGTTTGGGAAGCCAACCGAGGCAACCCAGTTCGTGAAAACGCTACCCTCACCTTCGGTACAGATGGAAACCTTGTCTTAGCAGATGATGATGGCCGGATTGCTTGGCAAACCAACACCGCCAATAAGGGTGTCGTCGGTTTTCAGTTGCTCCCCACCGGTAACATGGTTCTTCATGATGGCAAGGGTAATTTCATATGGCAAAGCTTCGACTCCCCAACTGATACTCTCTTAATCGGTCAATCTCTTCGAGCTGGTGGTGTCAGTAAGCTGGTGAGCCGGGCTTCCGCCGAGAACAACACCGATGGACCATATAGCTTGGTGATGGAGCCTAACATGCTAGCCTTGTATTACAAGAGCCCTAATTCACCTCGCCCAATGCTTTATTGGTCCTTATTCGTTGACAGAGTTAGTGTGCTCAATCTAACTCTTACTTCAGATCCAGCTACAACTGAGGGTTTTCTCTATTACTTCGAGTTTCTTTACTTTACGACAAACTCCCAGGCTGCTTCGGATGTCGACTTGACCTACGCCCACACACGATACAACAACACGTTATCATATCTTCGAGTAGGGATGGATGGGAACCTTAGATTCTTCACGTATAATCCAAACGTGCAAGTCTACGCTTGGGATGTGGCTTACGAGTTTATGGGCAGAGATTCCTTAGAAAGTGAGTGTCAGTTGCCGGAACGATGTGGGAAGTTTGGGCTATGTGAGAATAGTCAATGTGTCGCATGCCCAACACCAAACGGACTAAGTGGGTGGAGCACAGATTGTGAGGCAAAGAAGGTGACATCTTGTAAAGCAAGCGACTTTAGCTACTATAAGCTTGAAGGTGTTAACCATTTTATGATAAGGTACACGAGGGGAGATGGTGGAACGAAGCAAAGTGATTGCGAAAGCAAATGCACCAAGGACTGTAAGTGCATGGGATATTTCTACCACACGGCTGATTCGAGGTGCTGGATTGCTTACGATTTGAAAACATTAACTAAAGTCAGAAACTCGACTCATTTGGCGTATATCAAAACACCAAAGAATTAGCCGCATTGTCGAAATCTTTGAATTGCCAATTTCCTCTTTCAACAGCATTTGGTTTTGTTTCACCCATTGAGTAAATCTATTAAGATTTGAATAAACATGATGTAAATCTATTAAGATTTGAATAAACATGGATATCGGTCAAAGATATGACCCAAAGATTCGATAATTGTTGTTTTTTTTAATTAAAAAGTTAATACAATTTATTTTACCGAAAAATAGGCATTTGCTGAAAGCAACCAATGATATTTCTTCTTATCGAGAAGCTACACGCGGAACAAACCTTTCGTAAGGATTTTGTGGCTGAGAAGCGTACACGTAAACACCACCACAGGTTCTGTAAGATAGTGTTTGGTACGTACAATAGGACGGGACGTACACAACAAAAAAAAAATTGAGAAACAAAGTAAAAAGATTTTAGTTCCACAAAAAAGGGTGGAACTTGATAGAAATTAGGGATTTTATATATTTTAATTAAAAGATCAATGTAATTTTGTTTCATTCTTGTTTGATGGGCTATTTACAGATTTTCTATACTTAGATCATATGCAATCGGTAATTTTTTTTTTTATAGTTTGAGGGTTTTTATTGTGAATGGTATAGATTACTAGTCTTGAGTCGAGTTTCAGTCGCACAACTAGGGCCTTGGTTTTGTGAAGTTTTATGGATGGGTACAATGGTGCTTACTTAATCTTTGTTGTTTGTAACATTTGTGACGGAATAGTTGCTGCCCTATAAGCTGTCAAGGAAGCATGGAAAAACGTTGTACCACCCAGTTATTAGATAACTATTAGATAAATAAATTGTATAATATGTTATGTATATCTGTATTCTATAGATCCTACATTATAGGATCTCATTATTATAATTCATTAGTATATATACAATATCATACACACGTTTTGGTGTGGTTTATTTTATCTCAGTTTCACATGGTATCAGCCTAAACCATCCGATCCTTCCCTCCTTCTATTTTTCCGCTTCTTTTCTCAAAACCCTAGAAGATGTCGACTTCTCAGGATGACACCTTTCGATGAACACTTTGCTTCATATGATTCCCATCAAGTTATGTTCCACCAATTATCTTCTCTAGAAGAATCAGATGCTTCCCTTACTCTCTTATCAGAAGCTTTTGCCCCACGTCGATGGCACCTCTGTTCAACCTGCTGCAACAGTCGAAGTTGACAACAAATCAGTTCCCAATCCAGCTTTTACCTCCTGGTTTGATCTTGATCAGAAGGCTGTGATTCTTCTCAATTCGTCATTAACTGAAGAGGCTGCTGCTGAAGTACTTGGGCTCTCCACAGCTCGTTTGATCTGGACCTCACTGGAATCCACCTATAGCAGTTCTTCGGTAGAAAGAATTCATTCCTTACGCGATTCTTTGCGTCAAATGAAAAAAGGTACCTCTACTATCTCTGAATATGGTAGAAAGTTTAAGTCTGCTTGTGATAAATTGGCTGCCATAGGCCAACCAATTGAAGATATAGATAAAATCCATTGGTTCTTATGCGGATTAGGGCCTTCATTTGAAACATTCTCTATTGCCATACGCACCAGTAAACCCTCTCCAACTTTTCGTGATCTTATATCTCAGGCAGAGAGCCATGAGTTGTTTTTACAATCCATCCATGGCAGCACTACTCCACCTGCAGCTTTTATTTCTCAATCTCGTTCCACCAATACCAGGGGTCGGTCAACAAATTATCCACGTGGTGGCTCTCGTGGATCTGCTGGTGGTGGTAGAGGCAAAAAATTACCTTGTCATCTTTCTAAGGGACAAAAATTACCTTTTGATTTAAATCCTAAACGATCATTAAATCCGTTAGATTTGATACACTGTGATTTATGGGGACCAGCTCCGGTTGAATCAAATGGTTATTTATATTATGTTGTGTTTATTGATGATCACTCACGTTTCACATGGTTTTATCCTTTGCAAAATAAGAAAGGGTTTTATGCTGTTTTAAAGAATTTTATAAAGCTTGTTCAAACACAACTATCACAGAAAATTAAGGTTTTTCAAAGTGATGGGGGCGGTGAATTTGTCAATCACATTGTTCGTGAAATTTTTGAAGAAAATGGTATTGTTCATCAGCTTTCGTGCCCGCATACTCCCCAACAAAATGGCAGAGCTGAACGGAAGCATATGCATATCGTTGAAACTGGTCTGTCTATGCTTTTTCATGCACATGTCTCGGCCTCCTATTGGGTTGATTCTTTCAGCTCAGCTACATATATCATCAACCGGCTTCCTACCAAGATTCTCAATAATCATTCTCCATTTGAGTTGCTTTTCTCACGTATACCTTCTTATGGAAATTTTCGCACTTTTGGTTGTCAAGTGTACCCATATCTTCGTGACTATTCAGCACACAAGCTTGCACCACAGAGCATTTCTTGCATCCTCATTGGTTATCATCCTCAATATAAAGGGTACAAATGTCTTGATCCAACAACATCACGGATTTATATCACTCGACATGCACGTTTTAATGAAACCTCTTTCCCCTTTGCTGATCAACATGTGTCCTCTGATTTTTCCAAGCTGGACCTATCTGTTTTCTTGGATAACGGGCCTATTAATACTTCACTTTTTGATCAGCCTACTAAAATCGATACCATTCAACAAACCTATTCGCCTCCAGTTACCAAACCATGCTCTTTATGTGAACCTGTCTCTCGCAACAATATCCCTGCTGGCCCTGCTACACCTCCTACACCTGACAACGACCCAATTAACGATTCATCTTATGGCAGTCCACCTTCTGATAATGACAACTCAGATCCCAGACCATGTACGGACCCTCCAAATCGAGCTTCCTCACTCCATCCTATGACTACACGCTCCAAGTCTGGTATTTTTAAGCCCAAACATCTCTTTGACATTTCTTCCTTCGCTCAACATGCGTTGCATGCTGCCCTATTTTCTGAATCTCAACCAAAAGGATATAAGTCAGCTGCAAAAAATCCACGATGGTTGGCTGCCATGAATGAAGAAATGGAGGCTCTACGTCACAATAATACTTGGGTGTTAGTCCCACGCCCATCTTCCTCAAATATTGTTGGTTCTAAATGGGTTTATCGCATTAAATTCAATGCCGATGGATCTGTTGAACGGTATAAAGCACGTCTGGTCGCTCAAGGTTTCACACAAATTCCAGGGATAGATTATTCACATACGTTCAGTCCTGTAATTAAAGCCTCTACAGTCCGCATTGTTCTATCTCTTGCAGTATTGAACAAATAGCGTCTTCATCAGTTGGATGTTAAAAATGCTTTTCTTCATGGTCAACTCACAGAGACTGTGTTCATGGAGCAACCACCTGGTTTCACTGATCCCCAACTTCCAAATCATGTATGCAAGTTATCCAAAGCTCTCTATGGTTTGAAGCAAGCACCTAGAGCCTGGTTTCAACGTCTCAGCACTTTTTTACTATCCAACGGTTTTGTCTACAGTCGTGCTGACACTTCCCTGTTCATTTTTTCTCGAGACTCTTTCATCATGTATCTTCTCGTTTATGTTGATGACTTGATTCTTACCGGCAATCATGAGTCTGTCATCACTACATTTACTGCTCGTTTAAATCGTGAATTTGCCATTAAAGATCTTGGCGACTTGAGTTACTTTCTTGGACTTGAAGTTAGTTACACTGACACTGGTTTATTTCTAAGTCAGTCCAAATACGCTAAAGATGTTCTTACCCGGGCGGATTTGCTTGATTCCAAACCGGTCCACACACCTCTTGCTACACATGAGACTTTCACCTCTGATGGCTCTCCTTTTTCCGATCCCACTCTTTATCGATCGCTTGTCGGGGCCTTACAGTACTTAACTATTACCATACCGGACTTATCTTATGCTGTTAATCAAGCCAGTCAATATCTTCATGCACCTACGGATGCTCACTTTCAATCTGTCAAACGCATTCTGCATTATGTTAAGGGTACTGCTTCATTTGGGCTTCTTTTCTGTCATCCGCAGACCAACTACATATTGGGCTATTCTGATGCTGACTGGGCTCGTTGTCTTGAAACTCGTCGCTCTACTTATGGCTATTCCATATTTCTTGGCGGTAATCTTGTCTCCTGGAGTGCAAAGAAGCAACCAATTGTTTCACGATCTAGTTGCGAATCTGAATATCGGGCCATGGCGAACACAGCTGCAGAAATTGTCTGGATCACTCATCTTCTACGTGAACTTCATGCCTTGCCACTGGATCGACCAACTCTGCTCTGTGATAACAAAAGCGCCTTATTTATGACTCAAAATCCTGTTGCTCACAAGCGCGCTAAGCACATTGACCTTGATTATCATTTCATCCGGGAACTTGTCACTTCCGGCAAACTTCACACCAAGTTTATTTCTACCAAGCTTCAAGTGGCGGATATCTTCACCAAAAGCCTTCCACGTCCTCAGTTTGAGCATTTTCGTACTTTGCTACGTGTTGGTCCACCGCCTATTCGCTTGAGGGGGGATATTAGATAACTATTAGATAAATAAATTGTATAATATGTTATGTATATCTGTATTCTATAGATCCTACATTATAGGATCTCATTATTATAATTCATTAGTATATATACAATATCATACACACGTTTTGGTGTGTGGTTTATTTTATCTCAGTTTCACACCAGTTTGTACAAGTAATACAAGATACATGATTAGGGTAATTCAAATGCAACAATAACTAAGAGTAGATAGATCAATATTCTTGTTCATATAATCTTATCGTTAATATCCCATCCCTCCCCCCTCGGGTCAAGCTAGAAGCTGGTGGACTAACACTCAGGTTGGATCTAAAACGCTCAAACAAAGGTTGTGGAAGACTTTTACCAAAAAAGATTT